GTGTTGAAATTTTTTCTTTCTAGCTCCCATTTTTCTTTTTCAACATTGGATTCTTCCATCTTTTGGCATCTGACTTCAAGTTCAGCAATCAAATGGTTCATTTCAGATTCAAATCCCTTGAACATGATATTTTTCTCGCCTTCAAATTTATCAAAGATGTCATTCTTCATCTCTTCTAAATCTTTGGCTCGATCCTTTTCTCTTTGTATTTCATTCATGATCTCGCGGTGTTCAGCCTTGTGTTTTATAATTCGCTCTCTTCTGTCAACCTCGAAATCTTCCATTTTTTGCTTTCCTTTTTCCAGGCTTTTGAGTAGACGGCTATTCTTTCCTTTCAGATCTTCAACTCGTCTTTTCTCAATGTTTAATTCTCTGGTCATTTGTACCGTCGATTGGCCGGGTCCTGATGCTTTTCGGGATTTATATAACTCCTGGTAATTTTTCTGTAAGGCTCTGTACTCATCCTCACCTTTTTCTTTATCTTTTCTCAACATTGCACATTGTGATGAATGAAGTCAATGTCAACCCCCAACATAGCTTTGTCTTGTCTCATTTGCTCTAACTCTTTCGACCAGCTATCTCTTTCTGCTTCAAACTCAGCTTTCAATATTTCAATCTCTGATGGAACCACCTTAATGCGATCTTCCATAGAGATATCCTCATTTTGATCTGGTAAAGGAATATTTTCGTTTTTTCTGACAGATCTCCAATCTTCATAATCAGGAGTTAGCATTTCTTTTGCTGCTTTAGCTCGAATACAAAAAGTTGTTTTCCAAGCTGTAACGGCTTCCATGATATTTCTTTTATAATTTTTGCTGTGAAATGCGAACTCAGATGACTGTAGTCCAGCAGTGACAGGTACAAATTGACGACCTTCATACTGTCTTATAACCAGCAGTGGTGCATATCCAATTCCTCCCCATAATCCGAGCAGCATTATCCAGTTGTAATCACCACACCTGTAAAAGAATTCCCTTTGTATTTGCCACGGGGCTCGCCAAACAACGTCATTGCTTTGCAGATTTCGAAAGGCATTAATCCACATATCTTTCTTAATTTCTTTAGGCCATTCCTGCTCTAGAAATTCTTTTAATGGTGAGTAATCCGTATTGAAGCGTCGGTATGAAACCTTTTCCGTCCTCCAGAAATGACTACGGATCCAAACATATAGCAACTGGGTACACCCTAAGAATCGTCCACCTCCTAACCTTCTGCAAGCATTTAACGATCTGAAGGTCTCTGCTAGGATGGCAGAAACATGATTAATCTTCTTCATTAGCTGTTCAAACAAGTCTACCACTGCAGCTTCAATATATCCCAATACTTTTGGGAATATGACCATACCATATATACCCAGAGCAAATAGATCGAATCGTACTTTAGCATCTGGATGACTCTGAATAAGCTCTCTGATGTTGGTCCAAGCAATGCCTTCGCTTTCGCCTTTTTGTTTTGTACGGGATGCTACCCATTCTTCTCGTACCCCAGCAATCTTTGCTAATTTAACTCGAAAGGGCTGAGTTTTAATTGACTTTGAATATATTCGATTCTCCAAAGCACTTTCAAGATGTAACAAAGTTGTATATTCTTCAATAGTAGGGACCAAGTCCTCCTTATTGAAAGTGAAGCAATTGTACCATGGATTCCAGAATTGAACTAGGGCTCTGAGTAATTCATCATCAACTTCAACATAGAGCAAATATGGGATGTCTCCATAAGTCTGATAAAACTGCAATTTTTTGTTTGAATCCCAACTTTCCCAAATGCTTCGCAAATCTTGCATATCATTTCTTTTTAGTGAAACTGAAGCATAACTGGCCAAATCAGATACATAATCATCCTGCAGACTATCTCCTTCTTGTCTTTGTAAATCTTCAGCCCACTGTCTTACTTCTGAGTTTAGAATTACTTGACTTGAACACTTTTATCCATAGATGTAGGCTTTCCAATGAGACAATTAACACAATGATCAATGTCTTTTATCCTGTATGATGCAATGCAAACAGAAAAATAAAGAACACACAAAGAAAATCAATTAGTTTACATAATAAGAAATTTAATAATAATATTTACATAAATATTCTTTATTTAAACATGCTTTTCTGAATTTAAAAAAATTTAAATAAACATGTAACTTAAACAATAATAAATTAACAGAAAGACAGAATTCATTTCTCCTGTGTGTACACCTATTTTGGACAAAATTTTGGCATGACTTCGGATTGGAAGAGTTTCTAAGGTTTTTTATATGCAGGGTTTCAGATCTAAGAATCAAGGTACCCGAATTGTCCTTGTTAGTGCCCCCTTAGGCTGCTAACCCTCAATCCTAGTCCATCACAGACTAAAGTGGATCGAGTTCAATTCGAGGGGATACATTTCTCTATGCCTGACACGGAGAATAAATTCTCACGAAGACATAGAGCATATGAACCCCGAAAGCTACTTGCTAGGTCTGACACGGAGAATAAATTCTCACGAAGACGTCGCTTTCACTTCCACTTAAAAGGGACAACTCAATTATAGAGCTTTATGTAATGCAATGCAAGTGTTGTGTGTGAGGAGAAATGTTCAAACCTTTGACAGAAAAATAAATACTGAAATAAAATGCTTGCAAATAAAATAAAACATATAAATGTTATAAAAATAATAAATAAATGAAAAGAATGAAAAGAAAGAATTAAAATTAAATATATAAATTTTTAATTTTTAACTAATAGAGACAATTTATAATTAAATTTTTAAAAGTTTGACCAAAGTTCCCCAGCGGAGTCGCCAAGCTGTCGTAACCGGTTTTCGTCCGGGCACGAAATATTAATTTTGGCGGGGAAATTGATGTGAATAAATGGTTTTGAAAATAATTTGGGAGTCGCCATCGGCCTTTTGGGTCAGGTAGGTCGAATACCTAAAAAAAATATCTTTTAAAAGAGTTTTTAAGAAAACATCAATTAAAAGATAAACTGATCTGCGTTTTAACCAAAAATTCGTTCTTTTTAATAATAAAAGGGATTCGTGGTCGGTTACATTTAGGGAAGGATTAGCACCCCTACAACGCCCAAAATTGGTACTTTTTTTTATTTATAAATTGTCTCTATTATTAAAATTTTTAAAATTCAAAAATATATTTAATTTATAATTCTATTATTTCAAAATTATATAAAAAATTTATTTATTTAAAAATATCTGAAAAGAACTTCTAGGTGCCTTAAGACAGCTCTTTTCTTTGATATTGATAAATATTAATTTAAATAATATTGTTTACTTTTTAATTTTAAAATATCAGAATAGGACATCCAGTTGTATTAAGACTGTCCTTTTCTTCGATATTAAAAATAAATATTTAAAAATTACTATTTATTATATATATTTATGAATATATAAAAATATTTAATATATATATAAAATAAAATAAAAATAAAATACTATTAAACATATATTAAAAACAAAAAATAAATGAAGACATATAAAATAACGGACTAAATTATAGTAAAATAAAATTAAAATCTAATTCATAATTAATCAAAATTATAGGGATTAAATATGTTATTTCTTTATTTAATAATTTAGTGACTAAAATAAAATGATCTAAAATTCAGATATTATAATAAAATAAATTAAAAATATAAACTAAGGATTAAAATATTATTTATTAAAAATAATGGATTAAATCTGTAATTTATCCTAAATATATTATTTTAATATGAAGGACTAAAATAAAAGAAATTAAAATTCGAAGACTGAATTAAAATTATTATAAATTCAGTTTAGTGACCAAAATATAAAATTTACAAGTTGGGAGGACTACGGACGGGATTTAACTATTTTGTAATTACGCGCATAGTCCTTCCCGAAACGACGTCGTTCGAGAAGGACTATAAATGGTCCAAACCGGCTGGCCCGAAGGGCCAGCCATTTCATTTCTTCTTTTTTTTTCTTTAAGCAGAAAGAGAGAGAGAGAGAGAGAATTCTCTCTGGCCTCTCTCTAGATTCCCTCACCGGAGGGAATCCGGCAGCCGTCTGCCGCCGCGAGTGTCCCCGCCGGCCACCGCATCCGGTGGCCGGAAAATTTATTTTTATACTATTGGATAGATCGGACCGTCCTAAGGACGGTTCCGATGTTCTTTTTCCTTAAATGGCTCCCAATCGGAGCAGATCTATAAATATACCTTCGGTATTTTCGGTTCTCCGGCGATGTTCAGTGTTTCCGGCGACGGTCAAGGCTTCCTTGGTAAGCTTCTCTCCTCTCTTTTTCCTTCTGTTTTTGTTTTTGCTCTGTTGGGATCGTTGGTAGTTTTATATCTCTCTCTATTTCCCTTTTTTTTTCTTTTTGGTTCTGTCTCTGTCCCTGGTTTTTTGTCTCCCTTTTCTTCTTTTTTCTTTTTTTCGCAGATGGGTGGTGGCTTTTATAGCCACCACCGGTGTTCGTCTCAGACCGGTCCGAAGAGGGGGCCTCGGTGAGTCACCGGACTACCAGTGGTGACTCACCCCGTAGCCTTGCATGGACGGCTGGCGTTGATCTTCTGGAAGCATCATTCGGGACGTGGCAGCGGCGGAGGCGGTGAGGGCTTCTGGAAGCAGCAGCGGCGGCGCTGGGACGTGTCCCTAGGGTATAGATACCCTAGGGTTTCCTCTGGCAAATGGTGGACCGTTGGATCAAACCAGATCCAACGGTTGAGATTGAAGATGGCGGCTGGCTAGATTAGGGTTAGGAAACCCTAACTGGAAACCCAAATATTTAGGGTTTCTGGTTGGATTTGGACCGACTCTGGTTGGTTTGTAACTGGGCCGGTCCAATTGTAATTGGGCCTGTAATTATATTTTTTATTATTTATTTATTTTTAATAATATTTATATGTATTTAATATATTTAATAATAATAGTAATAATAATAATAATAATAATAATAATAATAATAATGATAATAGTAATAATAATAATAATAATAATAATAATAATATTAATAATAATAATATGGATAAAAAAATTTAGTATCTTCAGATAATGTTTGCCAGTCTAAAAGTTTCACTTATTACCTAACAAACAGGGGAAAAAACATATAACAAATTCCATTTTAGCTGTAAAAAGAAACCTTGAGAGCATCTTCACTTGAATTTGAGACTCGCATTTTGAGTGAAAGGCAAAGACAAGTAGTCAGTCCAACTATAATCTTCACCAGAATCCTCCTTTTTCTTCTTTATTTCCATGTTCTCGTCCTGCAGATATCAACATCAAAACTATACATTAAAAATCTTCTCTTTCTCTCTCTTTTTGCTTCAAAAAGAAAAAATTACTAAAAAAAACTTGCTTTTTCTATGAAAGAAGCCAAAACTAATGTCAATGATCACTTTTACTTTATCGTTTCTTCATGAAGTAAAAAAATCTTCTCTTTCTCTCTCTTTTTGCTTCAAAAAGAAAAATGTACTAAAAAACACTTGCTTTTTCTATGAAAGAAGCCAAAACTAATGTCAATGATCACTTTTACTTTATCGTTTCTTCATGAAGTAAAAAAATCTTCTCTTTCTCTCTCTTTTGCTTCAAAAAGAAAAATGTACTAAAAAAACACTTGCTTTTCTATGAAAGAAGCCAAAACTAATGTCAATGGATCACTTTTACTTTATCGTTTCTTCATGAAGTAAAAAAAAAAAAAAGGAGATGACTATTTAACTCAATTAGTAGAGCACAAGATTTTTAATTTTGAGATCATGAGATTGAGTCCTACTAAAGGTATTTTATAATTCAGAAGTCTTATACAGAAACTACTCTCAACCTAATGTTAAAGACAACCTACTATCTTACATCTTCTTAATCTATTACATATGAAAACAAGGTACATCTATTTTTCATGAAGTAAAAAAGGTAGAGTACAGACTTCAGAACTGTCAAGTATCTTTAGTTCATTTTTTTTCAACATTTTTCTCTTTAATTCTAACCTTAAAAGAGCGTCTCCATGAAACTTCTTCATTTACTTTCTCCAGCAGAGAGATTTTTACATGAAAGCAAGCCAACTTATAATTTTTTGTACTTCTTATGTAGTTTCCATGTCTTGTCCAAAGCTAGCCAAGTAGCCAACACAGTTCCAATACAACAATTACCAGTTAAGTTCTAATCTGTGTTATCTTTTTGAGATAAATGCAGAAATCCTCTTGATAAACTACATGGTTTCGAATATTTTCTTTTTGCATAAAAAAAAACTCATGTGAATCAAAGTTTATGATCCCAAAAGTACAAATAGTAATGCCAGAAGAAGGGTTCATCGAAAATCTGACAAAGGAAAAGGAAAATAAAAAAAAAATAAGGGCGATGAGGGTAGCAGTACTATCTCTTATAGGTAGAGGTGGGTATACGGGCTACCCGCCCGTTTAGCCTGCGAGTTTTGATGGTGCGGGCTTAAACGGTGTGGGCTAAAAAGCCCGTATTCATAAACGATTTTGAATTTTAAGGCCCGCGGTCCGTCCATTTAACCCGCGGGCTAAACGGGCTTACTCGCGGCCCGTTTAATAAAAATAATTTTAAATGCTTTAAATACAATAAAAAATAATGTTTTAACTTACTACACCTTTAAAAATGATCGAACAACTTGAAAATGAAGGTAGCACTGTCAAAATAATAAATAATATTTAAATTTTATTTTAAATAGCCGAAAATGATTATAAAATAATTTTTTTAATTTTTTAATCATTAATATATATATATATATAATGATATAATTACTTAAACTCAAATTAAAAAACAATATTCACTTATATCACTAAATTGAAAAACAAATAAAACAATAATCATATTATACTTTTATAAAACACGATTATTCAAGGCTATAATATGAATACACAAAAGTGTCTGAAAGTATAAATTCAAACATAAAAATTTAACAAAATCAAACATTATACAAATCTAACAAGAAAGTTGTCAAGTGTTTCTAATAATTGTATTTTATGGATACTTTAGAGAAATACTAAAACATAATATGAAAATATAAAATAAAATACTTACAGTATAAGAGTAAATTTGAAAGATACAATTATACTAAAATTGATAAAATATAAGTCATTAATTTGTTAAAATATATTTATTTTGTAAAAGTCTTTAAAAGTTGAAAAGTATATTTTTAATTTTTTATTTTACTTTTCTTTCTTATTTTTAATCCAAATATTACGTGTCATGTGATATATTATTAGAATATCACGTGACTTTTTATAATTAAAGAACAAAATGGATAACATACTTCATGAAAAAAAAAATAAAGGTCAAAATTAAATAAAAAAAACTTTAAATACCAAAATGATAATGATGTATATTTAAATGAAAAAAATATCAAGCAACGGTAAAATTATGACAAACACCCTAATAAATTTAAGAACTATAATAGTTTATTGATCAATATCAAGCAATAGTAGCTTAAATTTATGACAATCATATTTATAAGTAATTTATTTTCTGTTTCTATAAAATTCTTTAGGTTTATTTTCTCTAAAATTTTATAAATTTTAAATTAAGCGGGTTTTAGCGGGTTTAACGGGTAGCCCGCGGTTATACCCATTAAACCCGCGGGTTTAACGGTCCGGGCTAAAAAACTCGCAATTTAAACGGTCTTCAATTTTTAAGGCCCGAAGCCCGCACGAATTGTGGATTAAACAGGTAGCCCGCGGGCCTTAGCCGATATACCCATCTCTACTTATAGGCCAAAGTATGGTCTATTTTATGACAGAATTTGGGGCCCTCCAAACGAACAATCTGACTTACACGTGCATGTTCTCGTGTGTCCAATGAAAAATATGGAGCCATGAAAGATACTTTTGCATTTCCAAGGTGAAATTAAAAAAAAAAAAAGTCATATAGTTGACGTTGGCATTGATGAAATCAAAATAATCCTAGCGGTCGTATAAAAAAAAGAAAAATGTAAAATGTTGTGTATGTATGATACGTACCATCAACTGGTGGCGGGAAACAGGGCAGTCAGTGAGGAATTTGACAGCTAGGGTCATCGCCATGGGAACAGTCTCTTCTCCAGGGATCATCATCTCTATTATGTTACCACCTATGAAATCCAACGGCAGAGATTGCTTCTCACTTCTTCAGTGTCACGTAACAGCACCTCCACTGCATCCCTGGCCATACCCTTTTCGTCCGTTTTCTCCATACCCAATTTCCTTTCCTCTACCATCTTTTTCACACATATATTCACCTTCAGAGATTTATATAGTCTGGTTCCTGGAAATTTGATGGGCAAACAAATTAAACCTTTGATGAATTCTTGGAATTATCTCTTCAAAAATTCCAAATCTTCACAGGCACCAATACTCATCAAAACATTCACCAAAACCTTGAATGTTATCTGACATTTCCATTAACCATAGTCAAAGACATGAATATATTTGGAATTAATAAAAGAACGAACCTTTTTGGTTTCTTCTTGAACTTGTACTAGCTGCATGTCTTGCCAAGAACCCAGGGTTAATTTGACAGAGTTTTCGATATGCGTGGTGATACGGGTTTTAAGCTCTGGGAATCTGAAGAAACCTCCGATGAGTGCATGGACTCGCTTCTGGAGATTACCATTCATATGAAGTATGGAATGTTCACCAAGCAACTCTCACTACAAGAAATTTAGATTGATTTAATAAAATTATTAATCACTAAAAGTATTAAATTTATCACGATATATTTATTTTGATTAATTTTATTTATTATAATGTTTGTTAGAAAAATATTGTCATGTAAAGTATATTGTGATAAAATTGTGTTTCTTACCATTATATAGTATTTATTGTAACAATAAAATTTCATTACTATAATTAACTTATCAAAATAAAATATTTGTCACAATTAATTAATAATTTCGTCACCAGAAGTATATTTTATCATAGCTAACTTATATTTAAACATCAAATATAAAGAGTTTTTGTGACGAAAAAACATAATGCAACGAAAGTTATTTTGTCGCAATTGCTATTTCGTCACTAAATGTAACTTACAGAGATAAAATATTTGTTAAAATAAAATAATTATTTTATCACAGTTAAGTTAAATTATAACATCAAAAAAAAATTCGTGACAAAAGACATATTACAACAAAATTTATTCTCACTACTTTTATTTCGTCACTAAATATTTTTTATAACATTTTACAGTGATTAAATATTTTTTTTATAATTTATTATTGTGAAAAAATATTATTTTTCATAATTTTTTTATAATGAGAAATTAATATTTGTTATAAATTATTATTTTGATTAAATAAATTTATCAAAAGATGTTTTTTGAGAAAATATTGTGACAAAATAAATTTAACATAATTTTTTATTTTGACTAAATTTAAAGTTATTGTGACTAAATAAATTTGTTATAAATGATTATTGTAAAAAATATTATTTGCCATAACTTTTTATATTAAGAAATTAATATTTATTATAATTTGTTGTTATAACTAATTAAAATTGTCATAATTTGTTATTTTGAAAAAATATTTTGACTAAACACATTTGTCATAATTTTTTATTTTAACTAAATTTAATTTGTTCTTTTGTTTATATAAATTATCATAATTTGTTATTTTGTCTAAATAAATTATCATAAATTATCTTTCTTGCAGGGCACATATACAGATATAGGGTATCATCTGAAACAATAGCAAATTGTTCTCTGTCATCACTTGTATTTCTCCTCTTATTTGATCCATACTAAAAAAAATCAGACTAAAAATGAGCTCGCTTCCCATAGCTATTCCTCTGTCCCGCCATTATTATTAGCAAATATTTCCTGCAATTATAAAACTTTTCAAAGATTTACAAAATGAACAAATCTTGAGGATCAAACCACCCAAAATGTAAAGCAACGGCACAAAAGCTAAACAACAGACCAAATCAAAAGGTAAGGTGGGCATATTTTCATTTTTGAATCATCAAAGCATAATTCAGATGACAATAAATTTCCATTTGATTGTTGGTTTTACAACAACTTGCTTATACAAACAAAAAGAACAAAAGAGGTGTTTAGATAGAAACGAAAACATATTTTTGGAAAATTAAAAGTTTTCACCTTAATGAACACCAAAATGTAGAAAACTACTTTCACACATAAAATTTGTACTTCAATAAGCACTAGATTCCATACATTGGTTCATCTTTTAGAAAATAAGATCTAGAAAATTTTCAATAAAATGAAAAACAAATATAAAATAACTTTATTCCTAAGAATATTTAATATTCATAAAATATCCATGCAAATGCATACCTATGTATTTACAGTAATGTCATGAAGGACTAAAAACATATATATTAAAAATAAGATGGCGGGATGTAAAACAACAAATAAATGAAGTATACATGCTAAAGGTTAAAATGCAACTTGGCAGAATTACAAGCACTGGAAATAGAATAAATCTCGAACACACATAGGATTAAAATGAAAAGCTTCATAATGACGTGCTGAATTTATAAATAGTATGAAATACAAACAAACAGACAAGATAAATTAAAATGAAATATGCAAAAATTTAGAGGCCAAAATTCGAAACCTGAAAATCGTTTGTTTCAGCATTAACATAAGCAGAAGTAACACATCACTATTAACATCTATGTCAGTATGACAATGAATTTTTGCGTGTCATCTTAATTAAACATTTAAGACACCAATCAAAGGAATTACATGCCATACGTTTCCAAAACAACATAACCAAAAGTTACACATCATATGACTAGACAAAAAAAACAGATATTACGTAAGAACTTAGATATTTAAGTAAATAAACCTAAGATATAAAGGATTACAGAGAGGAATATCCCCTCTTCCAAAACACGCAGGTTGGTAGAGTACCAAACGTCGTTGCTTCCATAATGGTATAATATCCTTTTTAGGGTTTAAGAAAACCATCCGTTTTCACACTTACCCCGCCAGAAAACCTCCACTTTCATTTCACACTAAAAATGATAAATTTACATAGAAGATTATTCATTACGCCAAGATTGAATTAAAACCCAAAAGATAACACTCGAGCAAACAATTAACAGATACTAGAATGAATCATTGGAAATTCCTATTATTTAATAACATTGACGAAGTATGTTGCTAAAGTACCAAAATAATGCAACTGGTAACATCATTTTTGCAAACATGCACTCACACCATGAAAGTGTGAAACATCTAATAAAAAATCCAAGGATAAAAAAAATGTTTCAGTACAAATCAACAAGAAGTTCCAAGTACTTGAAGCCATCAAAAACCAAACAAAGGAATAAATGCAAATGGAAGTAAATATAGTAGTAATTCATAGCAAAAAAGAGGGAATGATCATCAATGTCTCAACACCATCAGATTTTAGCCATAGGTTCCATATAAGATGATGCATACATGAACATGATCAAATCAATCAGTGTTCCTCAATTGCAATAGACCGTGAGAAACATTATCATACTAACATTTGTGCCAAAGGGACCTACATGATTGTTCACATCTTCAAGGATTTTCTAGAGTTCGTACTCAAGTTCCTCGCGCTCATGACAAGTAGCAATTTGCATTACATCCTCAACTGTTTTCTTCACATAAGTATCCGCTGACTCGGCAGAGAAATGGTGAACGAGGGAAGAAGCAGAAGAGGAAGGAGAAATGTGAGATTTCAAGGGAAGCGTCACCGTTTTAGAAGCGGATCGGCAAAGAAGTGCGGATAGAGATTTTGAACTGTGAAGTGAGTAGCCTTCTCCACATATTTCAGAACTCGAAGGGATTTTGTTCAGTTCTTTTGGTGATCTCAGGTCTCGCCCATATCTTGATGCTGCTGCATGAGGGTGCGAGAATTGCAGAACGAGAACGCAGAGGCGGCGGAAGTGGAAGATGAGGTCATGGTGGAGGAAGAGTAAACTCCATCGCTCTGGTGATCTTTCGGTTGATTGCCTCCGAGGTCGCCATAGACGGTTGAAAAATTGTGGTTTTGCATTTAAACATTAACCGTAACGCTTCCAATTTTCTCTTCCGATCAGCGGAAGAGAGAGAATGTGAGCATTTTTTTATTGCTCTCCCTGGATCAATTGAGAATGGGAGCTCCCCCTCCTTTCTTCGTTGCCCTATCTCACAAAAGTGTTTATGATGGCTAGACGGGCTTGGGGTTCGTATTGGCCAATATTTGGGTCTTGAAATTGACCTAAAAATAATAAAATTAAATTAATATTTAATATTTAATAATTATAATAATAAAAATAAAAATGATAAAAAAATTCTGGAAAAAACGAGTGTCTACATATACGATAAGAGAAAAAGACTTGATTATACAATATGATGCAATTCTTCCTACTGTTAAAATTTATAAAATATTTTTATAATGGTAAGATATTATTTTATTGAGTTTTTCGATTATTAAAAATTACGAAATAATTATTTATTATTCATATGTTTTAAAATTATTTTTATTAAAAAATTGATGATCATTGAGTTAGATGATGATAGTGATAATAATGGTGGTGGTGGTGGTGAAAATGAAGATATAGACGACCAATATGAAGACGAAAAGGAGGATGATTACTTATAATTTTACGTGAGACAATTATTTTATTAAAATATATTATTTAGTTTAATTAATTACGATTGTTTGTATGATTCTAAATGAAATTACTTTTAATTTGTTCAATTATGCATATTGATTTATTCAATTTATTTACTTGGTTAAATTATTTACATAATTATAATTAAGAAAAAAAATTAAAATTAGCTTCGTAAAAAATAAATGAAAACATTTTGATAATATATTTTGTTATTATATTTTATTTGAAAATGCCATTGAATTATATATATCATAGAAAATTGTTTTTTTTAGCATTTTATTTTTATAATAATAATAATTTTATTTTCTCATTATAATCAAAATGTATAACTACAAGCATATTTTTTTTATAAAAGAACTAAAATCATTTATTAATTAAAAAATAGATTTTTTGTTGTTATAATTTTTCTATAACAATAACTATAAAACTTTTATTATATAACATTTTTGGCACCAAAAAATAGGGAGAAATTGTTCTAATAGTATAATTTTTCATAATGATTAAAATATATAACTACAAAAATAATTGATTACAAAAAACTTTAATTTTACTATATGATGTGATATTTTTTTCTATAACAGTAACTATAAATTATAATTACAAAACTTATCAATATCACTTTTTGAAACAAAAAAAAAGTGGAAAAAATATTTATCACAATATATGTCATCACTATAATTAAAATTTATAACTACAAGTATAATTTGTCACAAAAATTTGAATATCATTATTTTTTGTAACAATGTATTTTGTAATAATTATAAACACTTATAGTTAAAAAAAAGTATTACCATAGGATTTTTTGGCGTAAAAAAATATGGAGAAAAATCTTTATGACAATATATTTGTTACTATATAACATTTTTTACACTAAATAACATGGTGAAATGTTTCTGATAGTATAATTTTTTAGAATGATTAAAATATATAAGTACAAAAATAATTTATTACAAAAAACTTGAATTTTATTATTTGATGTGATAATTTTTTCTATAAAAATAACTATAAATTATAATTATAAAAATTGTTAATATAAATTTTGAAACAAAAAAAGTGGAGAAAAATAGTTATGACAATATATGATATCACTATAGTTAAAATTTATAACTACAAATTTAATTTGTCAAAAAAACGTGAATATCATTATTTTTTGTGACAATATTTTTGTAATAATTATTAACACTTATAGTTACAAAATTTGTCACCATATGCTTTTTTTGGCACAAAAAAAAGGAGGGAAATCTTTATGACAATATATTTTATCACTATAATTAAAATATATAACGACAAACACTGTTTTTTTACTAAAAACTTGAATCTCATTATTTGTAATGACAAATTTTTTCTATAATAATAATAATTATTATTATATTTTATAGTTACAAAACATGTCACTATATGATTTTGTTTTTGTACAAAAAATTGGAGATAATAATTTGTGACTATACATTTTGTCACTATAATTAAAATATATAATTACAAACAAAATTTGTCACAACAAATCTAAATCTCATTATTTGTTGTGACAATTTTTTCTGTCATAATTACTAAAACTTTTAGTTACAAAAGTTGTCACTATATGCTTTTAATTTAGCGTCAAAAAACTGGAGAGAAACATTTGTGACAAAAATTCGTAATAAAATTTATTTTGTCACAATATGTTACACATGTTCGCTAATTATGACAAATTATTATGACGATTTTAACTTCTGTCATAATTGTATATATTTTTTAAATCTAATACGACGATTATATATTTTGTCACCGAAAAGCTAGTAATAGTGACAAGTTTAATTTTGACAAAATTAAATTTGTCACAATAGTAGAAATTTCTTGTAGTGTTTCGGACGGATTTGGGAAAAACAGGGACGAAGATGTAGCCCATGTTCTGCAAAACCACCTTGTTTACATCGGGATCCTTTGACACAATGATGGGTGTTCCCAATAAGTGTGTTTTGAACACCTTCCCATGCCTGAAAAAAAACAAACATTAACAAAGTTTGCAAAGGATTTGTCTTTCTTTATTGCTTTTGTTTTGTTGATTTAGGTTCATTGATGGAAGAAGACCCATAGTCCAAAATTGGAAACAAAACGGTCGATTTTCATTGAAAAGCTGAAAACAATGGAGAATAGGAGCTGAACTTCACTGCCTGCAACTAAGCAATGGAGCTAGCTTCTACCACTATGGCAATTGCTCATGGTTCGTACTTACAGGCTTTAATGGCTTTTGTCTTAATTCAAAAAAAAAAAAATCTTTTTCACTCCAACATTTTAGACCATGTCACCACCTTCCTTTTTGAAGCTATGGATGTAATCGGAGCAGGCAGCTGTCGTTGTTCATTAATGAAGAATTTCTTTCTTGGGACATATATCGTTTAATGAAAAAAAAAACAAACTCCTTCGTGCATGCATATGATGTTCCTTTTTTTTCTCAGTTGTTTTTCATTAATTGCTTTTGTTTTCCCAAGTCTCTGAATTATAAGTCAATTATATTGATATCATTCAATTAAAAAAAACAGAAAACTACTACTACATTTTAAATTTCAAGAAACTCGAATAATAAAAATGATGGCAACAAAAAGAAAAATAATTAAATAAAAAAATTGTTACCATGCAAGTTTATGTTTTTTTTAATCAGAGTTGCATGTTACATGATTTGATTTGGTAGATAAGGAAATTCTTTCTATATTTCGATAATTTTTACATATTTTAATTATAATAATAATCGGAGATTCACTTAAGAAATGATTGTGTTTAATAATTGATAATTCCATTGCCATGCAATTCATGTAACTACAAACTTTGGGAGCAATTATAACATGCTATATATTATTAACTTTATATAAAATAATAAAATAACAAAAAATAGAATGACGGGGACGTTGATGAAGTGATGATTTGCATATCCATCTAGGGTTTCTATCATCAATAATCCATATAAAAATCGACATAAATATTGAAAATTAGTTGGGAAAATATATGTGCACGAAGAAGAATTTAATTTTCAGTGTTAGATGAAAACATATACTATAGGTAAACTGGAATGGAGTCATGGAGAAAGCAGATAAAAGAAAAAGGACAATTAGCAAAGAAGAAGACGATTATAAAAAACAAAAGTGAAAAGAAAATGAACAGTAGATAAAAAGAAAAAAGAAAAAAGCTTACAGAAGCTTGCGTTTGTCCATGAAACTGACAGGTCGAGAGGTGTAACCAGAAGCAATGAAGTCAAGAGTTTCACCAATCGAAGGCCAACCCAAGTGCCCTTTTGGTACTCGACGATTATTCTTTTCTATATTTTCCCTCATCTTCATCCTCATCTTGTTGTACCATAACAATCTTAAAGAAATACCCATCATCATCAACAACAACAATCCCATGCTCCATTCCATCTTTTCTAAGAGCCAAACCCTAGCTCTACCCAAGCTTTTTCTCTTCTGGTTTGACAGTAGTTTCACAGTGAAACTACTTTGTATACATGATGAGGCTCTTCGAAAGACAGAGGTAGAGAAATTATACTTGGCAAGTAAGTAATAAGAAGGTGGGAGAAAAGAAAAGAAAAGAAAACTAGAGGGAGAGATTCGGAAGATCTAGAGGGGTTGCATCTATTATTAAATGAGTTGGCCACATTGGGTGCACCAAAAATGCTCCACGCTTGTTCATTGTCTTCTCTTCACTTAGAGATATATGTACCCATCCCTTCTGCCTTTGCCTCGCATAATACACCATACATATATGTATATATATATGTAGGAGTGGGGTAGCCTTAAAACCCCTTTTTTGTTGTTTTTCCTGCTGTTGATCTTCATTCTCATTTCGATGGCTGATCCAATGAGTTTTAATGTCCTTGTACAATATAATAGACAAAAACATAAATAATTTTTTTTTAAAATAAAAATGTAATAGAAATTATACTCAAACAATATCAATACTAATAAGAACCAAAACCTATAAGACTATAGTGGTACATGTATTTCGAAAAATTCTTCTTCGATTTCTTTATTTTCCAGTTCATTTTTTTCGTTTTGTGTGTGTATGCGATTGTTATTTAAAACCTAAATTTGAGAGGGATTGGGGAATTTACCTGGGCAGTTCGAACGGAAAAAATGTCTTGTTGGTTCCATTCATACTCTGTGATGAGATTAAGCTTTATAAAATTTTTGAAACAAAACTAAGTCTAAAGAATAAAAACAGGGAGAGGGGATCAGTTCGAGTGAAAAACAAAAGAGGAAGCAAAAAGAAAAGAGAGGACTTACCTTGGCCGAGCGTCGGGGCTATTGTCGGGAGTGAAGGTGTGATCGGTCAGGTTCGTTTTAGGAGCGGCTTTTGGTTTGATCCATTGTCGTGGATGGTGGTCTAGAGGTGGAGCTTCACCGATCTACGGTTAGAAAATGGCGTCCATGGGTTTGGGGGTTATTCTGTCGAGAAGATGAGAGGCTAGGAGAATCGTTTCGAGCGGTTTAGGTCGATTAGGGAGTCGCTTGGCCCCTCGGGTTGTCGTTGGCAGTGAACGGAGTGAGGAGTAGCCACCAAAATATGGTGGCCGGTCGGATTTTATCTGGCTTGAGGAGCCATTGCTTTCGGCCATGCGAGGTAGAGAAGAAAGGCGAGCAGAGCGGCGCTGGAATAGGTTGAGTGCGGCAGAAATTAGGTTTTATTAATTTAAGGTGTTATTTAACTTTAATAAAACAATGTCGTTTAATAGGGGTTCAGGGTATTTCATTGTCGGGCGAATGGGTTTATTACTGAGAGAGTCATGCTTGTTTTTAAATTAATACATTTTGGTCCACGAGTCAAAACATGCATATTTATTATTTAGTCTTTGTATTTCACGAATGTTTTATTATAACCCCGGCAGTCTTATGTCCCCTCAAACATGCTGCCCTGGGCTAAGACCCTTCTGACACATGTATTGGGTCAATCCTGATTTTTGTTATTGTATCTTTGTTGTATTAATGAACGTGCATAGTTTTTTATCTTTATAATCATTCATATCCAAATTTGGGTATGAAGACACTAGTTTTTTTTCCATTTGGGTTTTTTATTTTTATTTTATTATTTTATTATTATTTATTATTATTATTATTATTATTATTATTATTATTATTATTACATGCCCAAACCAGACCGACCCAGTTACAAGAGCCCAACCCAGACCAACCCAATAGAAATACTAAACCTATTTAGGGTTTTCTATCCCAGCACCCAGCCGTTGTTCTTCTCAGCCGTTGGATCTAACCTTGACGAAGAAAGACAGGAACCTGCAAAGAAAGACAGGAACAGAGAAAAACAAGAAAGCAACCCATCAACCAAATACCACCAAATATTTAAAACAACGAGAGAAGCTTACCAACGAAGACCTCACTGTCATCGGAGACTCCATGCTCCTCCACGCGCCACCAAAAGCCTTCAAAAACTGAAGGTATTTTCATAGATTTGCTCCGATTATGAGTTTTTTAAAGGAAACAGAGGTCATATTTGGCCTTAGGATGACGGGATCTAAATTTTGGGGTAATTTGGGAATCTCCGGGCACCACGGTGGCCGGTGGTAGCGATCGGTGTCGGAATACGGTGGCCGACGACTGACGGATTCCCTTAGATGAGGGAATTATAGAGAGAGGCGAGAGAGAAAAAAATTTCTCTCTTAGAGAGAGAATGAAAATAGAAGAAATGAGAAATAAGGCCTTAAGGCCGGCCATAATAGGGTATAAATACCCTCACCAAAACGATGTAGTTTTGGTGAGGGCCTTTGTGTAATTTTATGCATGGGTAAATACGGCCCGCAATCCTGTAATTTTTAACTTGCATTTTAGTCACTAAAATAATTTATTATTATTTTAATTCGGTCTTTCAATATTATTTCTTTATAATTTAGTCCTTGATATGCTTTTATATATATTAGGTAAAATAGCCGATTTAGCCACTGTAATTTTAATCATTATTTTTTTAATCCTAAATAACTAATTAGGTTAAATTACACTATTAACCATTACATCTCATAATATTTCGAATTAGCATTTATAATTTCAATATTTTATATTTTAATAATATGATTTCATTTTTATTTGTTTTGATAATTATTCAATTACAATTTATTTTTATTATTATCCTTTTATTTTCAATATATTTAATTTAGTAATTTTATTATTATTATTATGATTTATTAATATAAATATATATAATAATATTTATTAGTTAGTTATTATTTATTTTTTAATTTTAAGAAAGAGGTTGTCTTAAAGCAACTAGAAGTTCTTTTCTGATATTTTTAAAAATAAATAAATATCCTACTTTTATAAATTATATATATTAATTTATTTTTTTAATTATTTTTAGAAAAATGTTTTATTAATATTTATTTATTTTTTAATATTAAGAAAGGGATTGTCATAAAGCAACTAGAAGTCCTTTTCTGATATTTCTAAGTAAATAAATATCTTATTTATAAAAATATAAAAATATATATTTATTTAATATATTTTCTAATTATACTAATAAATTTGAAATCACAGGATTATGAATTAAATATTTTTGAATTCTTAAATTTCAATAATAGAGACAATTTATAATTAATGGGTACCAATTTTGGGCGTTATAGGGGTGCTAATCCTTCCCTAAACGTAACCGAACACAAATCCCTTTTTTACTAAATTTTTTTGGTTATACGACAGCTTGGCGACTCTGCTGGGGACCGGTCAAACCTAATTCGATATTGTCTCTATAATTAGAAATTAAGAATCCAATTTTATTTAATTTATGATTCTTTTGATTTCTTTCATTTTATTTTATACTCTTGTATATTTGATTTATTTTTAAATTCTATGTGAAAATTTCTCCTCACACACAACATGTGTATTGCATAACATAAGCTTTATAATCAAGCTTGTCCCTTTTAAGTGGGAGTGAAAGCGACGTCTTCGTGATAATTTATTCTCCGTGTTAGACCTAACAAGTAGCTTTCGGGGTTCATATGCTCTATATCTTCGTGAGAATTTATTCTCCGTGTCAGGCATAGGGAAATGTGTCCCCTTGAATTGAACTCGATCCGCTTAAGTCTGTGATGGACTAGAATTAAGGGTTTGACAGCCCAAGGGGGCACCAACGAGGACAATTCGAGTACCTTTACTCCTAGAACTGAAACTCTGTATATAATAAACCCTAAAAATTCTCTTGAGCTAAGATAATACTGAAACCCTGTCCGTAGGTGTACACAAAGAATAAATAAGCTCTAGGTTTTAATTTATTTGATTTCCTTTTTTTTCTAAACAAAGCATGGAACTAGAAATCATGCAGTTAGATTAAATTTTTACAAACAAAGCGTGGAGCTAGAAAACATGAGGTTAGGATTTATATACCATGATAGATATAATCTTTTATTTCTATTAATTTGTACTAACCATTATATTTTTTATTTTTTTATTTTTTCCATGCATTTTATTTTGTTCGAATTTATTTATATTGATTTATTGTGCATGCATTGCATGATTATGACATAACCAGAAGGTGTTGACTCTTGAGAGTGGACATCAAATTGGAAAAAAAAGCTTTATGATCAAACAAATTATGACGCATTTAGGGAATGACATCCTGAAGGAACTCTGAGGATAGAGGAAAGCTATGCACACAAAGATCATGTTAGATTGATACCGAAAGTATTCCACAAAGATCTTGTTAGATTGATACCAAAAGCATTTATGGTAAGAGTATCAATAGGGGCATTCAGAATAAAGAAGGTTTTTATGAAGCTCAAGCATGTTATTTGAAGGATGAAAACAATAAATTAAGTATAAAGATGAGCACGATGTGCGAGGATTTCCAAAGGACTAGTCAAGCCCTTCAAAATACTGGCATAGGAAACACCCCAGAAGAGTGGATAACAGGGGTCACCAAACTGAAAAAGAGTTACGACATACATGAATATCTTATCAAAGAACTCTGTCACCATAAAGATTCCCTTACAAGAGAGAATGAGCAACATTGCCTACAACTCTGAAGGTTGACATAGAAGATGAACGAAAAAGAGAATGTCATGGAAGAAGTTGCAGTCCAGACAAGAGATGTGGCTCATAAGCTGATAGATTTAGCTGACTTTACAAGGGATTGAAGCATATTGAGAACTCAACTTTTGAGCAGGAAGGGAAACTAACTCGGCTTTGGAGAAGTTAAGAGTGAAAGCTATCCCCTATATGTAAAGTTTTGTTTGATGTACCGAAATTTTTGTGTTCAATGAAATCTGTTTTAAGATGATCACTCATGATTAACACCTTCGTTGCATTTGCATTTTCACTTTGCATTCGTACTTTTACGTTTTCATTGAATTTACATTTTCATTTTTGCATTTATATATATTTGCATAGTTAAATCTATAGTTTCAAACTTACATCATACATTAAAACATTCATTCATTAAAATAAGGATTTCAACCGAAGTGATCTTGGTTTTTCCTTATAGCAAGAACGCTAAGCACGACACAAGAAAAATGTCTAAAGAAACTGAGGATAGGCTAACCAAATTTGAGATAGAGAAAAAAGAGAGGCAGTAAGAATTAAGGAGCAAGTTGGCACAAAATTGAAGCTAATATCGCAAATTCTTAGATCGATCTACTAAACAATATGAAAGAAATGATTGGGAAGCACCAGACCGATGGAAAGAGTCTTGTTGAAAACCCCACAAATCCTCTGGGTGTTACACCTGTTCATATTCCTGAGCACACCTCAGTACACCAGGAAATTCAATCACCATTTCACTTAACTGTTAAGAACCCACAATATCAAATTGGAGCTTCGTTCCCCACTGACTTTCCTACTTCTTCTGGGTTGAAGTCAAATGAATTTTGTACTGATAATGAGATCTCTGACCCAAATAAATTAGTTGAGAACAAAAATATCATCCAACAACTGAAAAATGTAGAAGAGGTGATAACATCTAGAGAGACAGTTGAGTCATTTTATGGGTTTGACGCTAAAGTGCTATGTTTGGTCCCCGATCTAGTTCTCCCACCAAAGTTCAAGGTTCCAGATTTTGAGAAGTATAATGAGACCACATTCCCTTCATATCATATCGCCATGTACTTTCATCGTGTGACTGGCCATGTAGAGAATGAAAAGTTGTTGATCCACTGTTTCCAAGACAGTTTATCTGGGTATGCATCCAAATAGTATAATCACCTAAAACATACTCAAATACGTTCTTGGAAATACTTAGCTCAAGCCTTTTTGGGTTAATACAAGAACATGGCTGATATGGCCCCTGATCGAACAATGTTGCAAAACATGAATATGAAGTGCAATGAAAGCTTTCGACAATATTCACAACGATGGAGGGACATTGCTTCTCAAGTGCATCCACCATTGACTGAAAGGGAGTTCACTACTTTGTTCATCAGTACATTAAAATTTCCCTATATTAATCACATGATAGGGGCTGCCACTAATAATTTCTCTGACATCATCATGAGTGGAGAAATGATCGAAATAACTATCAAGAATGGCAAGATAAGAGGCTCTGATAATACTGACGTCAAGAAAGAAACTGAGGTTAATATAGTGAGGTCTTATTCAGTTAAACATGGTACCAAACCTTATAGACTGATCAAGAAGAAAAAGAATATGCAAGGTTTTCAATTTCCTC